AGCAGCGTATGGCGGCCACTGCGGCACCTCGGGGACCTGATCTAGATCCAGCCTCACACCGGGGAGCCCTGGGATGTCCCCTGTGCCCGCAGCAGTGCTTGGGGTGCCTGGAGCTGGTGGTGCCCCACACAGCCAGGGAGAGAGTGCAGCGAGGAAGGGAGATGCTGCCATCCCACTTGCCGGAGGTTTTGCACCCTCCAGCGCTCCCGCTTGTTCAGGAGGGTGACCCCAGCTCCGGCCAAAATCAAAGGGGTGTCTGGTGCTGTGAATCTGACTCCTGCTGCGCCCACTCCCAGGGGTATCAGGTTGCTGCCTTGTCCGACTGGTTTGTTTGATCGCTGCTGGAAGTGGCGGGGGGGCTTGGTGGGGGTAGGCGCCGCTCCCCCCTCGCGCGGCCCCTTGTCCTCTTGCCCACGGGGAGCCACTATAAAGCCTGGCTTTGTCCGCCGAGGCAGGTAGGGTTACAGGCAGAAAACAGCTTCCTTCATTTATTCCCTCCTGGACCAAACAAGCCCAGGGTACAGCCTCTTCCCAGTTGCATTTAATTAAGGCAGACGGGCGATGCAGGGGTGTGAAGTCACCCTACCCGGAGGGCAGCCTGCTCCTAAAAAGTTGCCCGGTGCAGGGGGGCCTCTGGCAGCCGTTCCCCAGGTGGCTGGAGGGGGACGTGCCCAGTGGGTGACCCGCAGGGTGTGGTGTGTGCCCACCGCGCTGCGCATCGCGTGGGGTAACGTTTCCTCATCTCTCCCTTCCCAGGGCGCATGTGCAACATCAACATTGATGAGTGCTCCAGCAACCCGTGCCACAACGGGGGCACGTGCAAGGATGGCATCAACGGCTTCACCTGCGTCTGCCCCGAGGGCTTCCACGACCCCAAGTGCCTGTCTGAAGTGAACGAGTGCAACAGCAACCCCTGCATCCACGGGAAATGCCACGACGGGCTCAATGGGTAGGCTGGAGGGTGTGGGAGCTGCTGGGGCCAAAGGGCCACCCAGAAAAGTTAGGGTTAGAGGCAGGATGAGCAGCTGTACCCCAGTGTCTGTGCTCAGCTGTGCTCTTTGCTAGTGCCAGAGGATGTTTCCCTGCAAGGGCACCATTGGGAGCTGAGTTTGCTGTGTAAATGATGGCTGCGTCGCCAGGAGGGCCAGATTCCGTACTTTATGCCTCAATTTTTCCCCAAAGCTACAGGTGTGACTGCGACCCAGGCTGGAGTGGGACAAACTGCGACTTCAACAATAATGAGTGTGAATCCAATCCCTGCATGAATGGTGGCACCTGCAAGGACATGACCAGTGGCTACATCTGCACCTGCAGGGAGGGCTTCAGCGGTAAGGGTGCAGCCAGGGATGCTGCCGTGTCCCCCCACGCTGCGGAGACTGCGTGAGGGCTGTGGATGGGCATCTCCATGATGCTAGATGGGCTGAAGGTGTCACCGTGGGGATGGTGGAGACCCTAGGTCTGGTTCGGAGATGTGGTGGCTCAAGCCAGCCTGGAGACCATCCACAGAGCTTGGGTGCCCATGGCTGGAGCTGAGAGCAGGAAGCTCTTCCATGGCAGTGGGTGGGCTGTTGCCATTGTCACTGTGTCTCCATTGTACTCTCAGCCCCCTCTCACCAGCACACCACCTTAACAGCCACTGTTACCTATTTTTCTTAACGCAGGACCCAACTGCCAGACCAATATCAATGAATGCGCTTCCAACCCCTGCCTGAACCAGGGCACTTGCATTGACGACGTCGCCGGCTACACATGCAACTGCCTCCTGCCCTACACAGGTGAGGGGGAGCTCCCCGTGCCCCCCAGGCCCTTGCCAGGGCTCTGCGGGGCTGCTGCTGTGGGTGTGACACCAAATCAGTCCGTCAGCACATGCAAGGAGCTGACACCAAGCGCAGAGGTTTCCCTTGCCCTGCCCTACTGTGGGGCTGCTCACAGCTCCACCTCCCCGTGCCGCAACGCAGCTGGAGGAAATGTGGAGGAGCTTTGGGAAATGGCCAGCCAGAGCCAGAGCTTCCTTCCTCCTCCTCCTCCTCCTCCTGGAGGGCACTGAGGTGGTGGTTCAGCCATAGCCTGTGCCTGGGGCAGCAGTACCAGGCGGCTGCCCTGCTCACACCCCGCTGCCCTGGGGATTTGGCGCTGCTGGTGACCCCCTTCTCCTGCTGTAATGCTCACGCTGGAAAAAGCGAGCCGAGGCTGAGGGGCCGGGGGCATTCTGCTGAGCCAATTCCTGTTTGCGCCCCTACCGCGGAGGGGGGCACCCAGCGGGTGCACAATTGCAGGAAGCCATGAGCTGTTTCCTGCCCTTGGCAGTGGCCATAGAAACCCCTGGGAGGGGGACTGGGATGAGGGCAGGCGGAGAGGGGAAGGCTCTGGAAAATAGCAAAGGCCAGTTTGGGAGATACTGGCTGACAGGGAAGATAAGGGTTCGGAGGGAACATGTCCCTCGGCTGGAAGTAAACAGGAAAAGCGGCTGAGAGGGACAGAGGGGGAGGGCAGGGGAGAAAAGGGCAAGTGGCGCTTCCTTGCCAAAGGAAGTGTGCGGCGCTTTAACGCGGCCCAAATTGCCAGGGCTTAAAGGATTCATGGAGGTCTGGGTCATGGGCGATCAGGGACGGGAGGAGACGGCCCCAGCTGGGCTGCCCCAGGGTAGTGGGGAAGCCCAGGGTCTGCTGCAGGGCTGGGACAGGGGTAACAGGGTTTTGGGCCACCCCTGTTTTGGAGAGAGTGTCAACGAGTGCTTGTGTCTGGGCAGGAGCCACCTGCGAGGACGTGCTGGGCCCCTGCAGAACGGTGGTGAGTGCCGGGAGTCGGAAAACTATGAGAGCTTCTCCTGCAGTTGCCCCTCCGGCTGGCAAGGTAGGGGCACGGCTTGTCTCGGGGTTCAGCGCACTCCGCTTTCCTC